GGAAAGAGAGGGGCGGGTTAGGCTTGAAAGGGAGGGGCTGGCAGTTGCAATGGCCAGGTGAGAGAAGACAGTGGAGGGAGAAAAGTGGCCGGGTGTGTAAGAGACTCAGCAGATCAGACAGCCGGGGCTTGATGACAGGCCGGGCATGGAGGTGAGGGAGCAGGAGGGAGACCCGGACCTAAAGTTTAGCTTCCTAGCTCATGGAGCTGGACACACCGTGGGACCCAAAAACACTGGGAAGGGACCAGGTTTGGGTGTATTAAGTTCATGATGAGTCATCCATCAGATAGTTGGTTATAAAGGGGCTGGAGGCTGAAACATGAGCAGGTGGTCACTGAAGCTTGGGTCGACATGTGTTTGCTGGGACAAGTGGAGCATGAAGAAGGGCTGAATGTAGCCCTGAGGTCCTTTGATATTGAGGGGCCTGAGTGCAGGGTAGGATGAGCTGCTCTGGAATCGGGAGTGGCCAGGGCGGGTGGAGAGTGAGTTTAAATTTGGCACCTACAGTGTGCCAGGCATGGCCCTCACCACTAGACATACAGCAGCGAACATCTCAGACAGAAATCCCTGCTCTCGTGGAGTTTGCCCAAGACCCAGCAGGAAGGTGGCCTATCCAGGGTTGCCTATGGTCAGTGTCAGACTCTCAATTAGAACCACACCTCTTAACTCCCAGGCCACTGCCAACTGGGAAAGGTTGTGTGTTGGTGCCAAGATGAGACAGATGGCAGAGAAAGGCAGAGTGGTTGCCTTGCTCTGCCACCAACCAGCTGTGTGACCTTGGGCAAGTCGCGTCCCCTCTCTGAGCCTCATGGTCTCCTTCTGCAAAGTGAGATAATGATCTCAGCTCTGCCTTTCTGCCTAGGAGTATCAAGTGAGAGATGCACTTGGAACACTCTTTACAACCTGCAGAGCCTTGGGAGGAGAGTCGCCAAAAAGAGGCAGGCTGGCGCCAGGTGGGTGGGTGCCAGGGTGGAGCCCACAGCTTCCTGGGTCTCTGCCCAGCCTTGCCATCTGTGTGGTAGCATCAGCTCCACCTTCTCTTCTCCTTACTCTCCCTGCCAGGAAAAAAGCTTCTAGGATCTTTTCGCTTTATCAGAATCTTCCCTCTCCCTCCCCAGCCGGACCCTCTTCTCTCCCCTTCTGTTTTAGTGAGGACTCTTGGTTGCAAGTGACAGAAATCACAAGAACAGGGAGAGACCATTAGTTTTAGGCATGGCTGGTTCCCCAGACCTAAAACGATGTCACCAGGGACACTCCCCCTGCCTGTTCATCTTCTTTCCTCACTCTCTGTCCCTTAGCTTTTTTTGCTTTTTTTTAAATATGTTTTTATTAATTTCAGAGAGGAAAGGAGAGGAAGAAAGAGATTGCAACATCAATGATGAGAGTCATTGATCGGCTGCCTCCTGCACGTCCCCTACTGGGCATCGCACAACCTGGGCATGTGCCCTGACTGGGAATTGAACTGTGACCTCCTGGTTCATAGGTCAATGCTCAACCACTGAGCCATACCGGCTGGGCTGTCCCTTAGCTTTAGTGACTCTCAGGAGCAGGGCACACAGTGAGTGCCCATCCCTGAACAGATCACTGTGTCGATTATTTGGTTAGGCCTAGGTCACAGCCCACTATTGAAGTTAGAAGTGGCCTCAGCCCCACCCAAGCCACTGAGTGCCTGGGAGGCAGCTTCCAAAACAAAGAGATGGGTTCTGTCACCAGAAGAAGGGATATTGGTCAGTCAATATCAGTAGGTACCCTTGGCACCTTTGTTCCTAAGTGCATCAGCTGGAAGATTGAGCTAGGGGCTGTTGAAAAGAGAATGTTGATTGTGTCCTGTATCAGTTAGCTTTTGCTGCATAACAAATCACTCCAAAATGTAGTAGTCTAAAAGAACCATTTTATTCAGCTCATGATTCTCTGGGTCGGCTGGGAGATTGTTTTGGTCTAGATTGCCTGTCTGTGGTCAGCTGGTGGGTTGGCTGGCATGTCAGTGAGTTAGCATGGCCTCACTCTGATGGTTGACTGGCTGTTGGCTGGGGTGCCTCAGAGCCCCTCCATGTAGCCTCTCGTTCTCCAGCAGGTCAGCTCTGGCTCTTTAACAAGGTGTTCTCTGTGTTACAGTGTAGCAAGTGTGAGCAAGCTACAATGCACAAGCATTTTTCAAGCCTTCACTTGCTTGGCATCTACTTAAGTCCCATTGGGCAAAGCAAGTCACATGACCAAGTAAAGAGCTAGTGCGGGAGGGCACTGCCACAGAGCATTGAAACAGAAGAAGAATTTGAGGCCAGTTTTGCAATCTACTACAGCTCCCTCAGGAAAGGAGAGTAAAACAAAATCCCTTTTTCTGTGGACTGTGGATCCCATAGGCCAGGGCAACCTCCAGGTAGGGGGCTTTGGAAGAGGTGACTCAGACCCACGGGCTTTCCTTGGGCCTCCAGGGTGAGGGCTCAGGCCTTGGGCAGAGCTGGGGGAGGAGTCTGGATCCTGACTTCAGCTGAGAGCCTCACATCAGGAAGGTGCCAGTGGGTAGGGCCTCTTGGCACGGAGGCAGGTGTACTGAACCCTGGCTTCCATCTCCCTTCAGCCCACCCCAAAGTCATGATCAGGGCTCAGTCCCTCACCCCCCCAAACTTGCCCCCACCTCCCAGCATCCCTTTGGTGCTGTGGGACTGGGATGGCTTTAAGATTTGTGCGCAATCAGGCCATGGTGCCTCATCACCATGATAACTGATGTCACGTCCACAGGGTCAAGGAGGAGTCCCTGACCTTCCCTTTTAGGGGGTGCGCGTGGCCTCAGTCTGCTCTTTCCCACAGGTGGCTGCGCTGGAGCGGCAGATCTTTGACTTCCTGGGCTACCAGTGGGCTCCCATCCTAGCCAACTTCCTGCACATCATGGCGGTCATCCTGGGCATCTTTGGCACGGTGCAGTACCGCTCCCGGTACCTCATTCTGGTATGGCTCACCTGGCCCCTCCCAAGCCACCCTTCTCCTTACCCCCACACCTCCCCCGTTCCTCCAGCCAGAACTGGCCCCACTCGGGCACCCAGACCCCTGCCCTGTCTTGCCTCCAGCCCTGTGGGTGAATGCCCAAATCCCAGTGCTTCTTTGTTCAGCGGAGACAAGGTTGGTATTTTTCCTAGGGAAAAAATCCAACTATTAACGTGATACATCATTTGGTGAGTGCCTGCCATGTATCGGGCACTCTGCTGAGAGTTTCGATGCTTTATTGGATCTTTACAGCAGCTCTGCGAGGCGTATCGAACCGTCTCCATTTTCTAGATGAGGAAATGAGTCTCAGAAAGGTCACGATGCTTCCTAAGGTCACACAGCTAGTAAGTGGCAGAGCCAGGACTAGAGCATCAGATCCAGAGTGAAGGCTCCGGCCACATCGCCCGCTGCCTCAGGAGCCCTGTCTAGCTTAGTTTCTCAGGTTGCCTCAGGAAAGCTGGGCTTTTGTCCTTGATGTTCATCAAGAATATGGTCGAGAGTGGCTCTGAGGTCAGTGCCTGTGTGCCCATCCCCAGGGTGGATTGCATCCTTGGCTCCTTCCTCCTTCCTTTTTCTAGGTCTTGGTCCTTGATGGTCTCTGTTAAACTCCTGTTTTCAGTTGACCTTTGTCCCCTGCTCTTCATCTGTGACCCACTTACATATGTCTCTTGAGGAAAAGGCTTTTTGGTAGATTTAAGACAGAAATGCTTGACACCTGCCATAACAATGACATGCAGTGTCCTGCTAGCCCCACAGCCCATTCCACTCATTCCAGGACTTCTCCCATGTCCCACAGGCTCAGCTCCCAGGGACCAGGAGAACAGGGTTCCTCCAGAGTCTCCTCTCATCTGAGTGAGATAGGAGAACCCTTCTCTCCAGTTCTGAAGAAGCCCCAGGCACCAGGGTAACAGCAGTGTCTGCCAGGTGGTCGCCACTGGCATCGTAGACCTAAGGCTTGGATGGAAATGGCCAACTCCTCTCCAGCTCTTTGCCATGTCCAGTGGCTGTTGTTCTCTGCTGATTGGATAGGATCAGCTGCCCAGGAACTTGGGTTTGAGTGCCAGCCCTACCTCTTTCTAGCTGTGTGATCTTGGAAAAAAAGACCCTCTCTAGGCCTTAAATTAGTTATGTCTGAAGCGAGGACAATGCCTTCCCTGCAGGGCTGATGTAAAGACCGGGTAGGTATAAAAATGATTTGTTAACTATTCTCAGTGCTCTGTGAGTAACATATTGTCATAACTTCCCCTGCAAAAGTCTCCTCAGTCCATTAGCTCTGTGTCTGTGGACATGCTCCAACCCCACTCCCCAGGCCCCACCCTGACCCCACCACCTCTGCTTTCCCCAGTATGCAGCCTGGCTGGTGCTCTGGGTTGGCTGGAATGCGTTTATCATCTGCTTCTACCTGGAGGTTGGACAGCTGTCCCAGGTAAGCCTCAGGCCTGGCAGTGCCAGAGGGCAGAGCCTGACCCTCCCCTTACCCCCAACCCTAAGGGCTCCCATGGTGGTGTGGGTCTGGGCATCATTTCTTCTGGGGTTTTTTTGGGGGGAGGCATTATCTCTTGAAGAAACTTCCCTCTACACATCCAGATAATCTGTGTTCCCATCCCTCACCCCACATTTTTGTTTCGGGCCCCCTCTGCACTTCTTAGACACAGATGGTGATGGAGCAGATAAGGGTGAAGATCAGTCCGTGTGAAGATGGGCTGGGGTCCCAGTTGATAACAAGCTCAGTAGAAACCAACAGTATATGGTGGCCCAGAAAACTACTCTTAGGCCCCATGTGTGTTCAGTGCAAAGGGGGTGAAAATCCTATGCACTTTGTACTGTTTAGACACGAAGATTTGAGTCCAGTGCTGATCAATATTTTTCAGAAGAAAAAGAGATTAGGTAGAGTTTGTTCAGGAAAAATTGACTAGACCATGGCACATGGAGAAATATGGAAGAAAGTGGGAGTATTTAATTTCAAGAAGAGTAAGCCCAGAGGGCACAACTTCCATTTTTAGATATTATGAAGGCAACATACATGAATGAGAGCATTTGGCTTTGTAGTTTGAACACCTACTAGATTCAAATCCCAGCTGTCAAGGTCACAGTAGCTCTCTGATCTTGCGCAAGTGTCTTACCCTCTCTGAACTTCAGCTCCTCATTAAGTGCAGATAAGAGCAACCCCAACTTCCTTTGGTTGCTGAGGGGATAAAGCAAGATCACACATCTCAGTGCTTGGCACCCGGTCGGCATGCATTGGAAATTTGTTAGCAGCTGTATGATTGAATGGATTGATAAACACATGGATGCACATCATCAATAACAACTTCTGGTCTAGGCCAGCCCCTTTTCCATTTCAAATGAGGAGACTAAGGACCAAAGAGGGAAGAGGTTTGCCCAGGGTCACACATAGGGAGAGCATTGGAGAGGCTGAACAGGCCATGAAAGGACCTGTATTGAAGATTTTACCAATGGCTGGAAAACTGTACATGGTCACTGTTAATGTTCCTTCCAGCCCAGAAATTCTGGGGTTCTTGTGGGTCAGTACCAGCCCCTTCCATAGCTGTTGGAGAGCGAGGTCTGCATGGTCATCAAGCGCCACCTACTGGCCAAATGTAGATCTGCAGATACTCTTCCCACCCCCACCCCCATGCCCTCCGCAAATCAAGTTATGGGAGGAGGCTGCTGTAATAGTGCAGATGTAAAATAGGCTTTATATACAGTCTCCTGGGACCTGGGGAGGTTTCCCGCACTCCAGCTCAGTATCCTAGGCCCCTCTGCCCCCAGGACCGGGACTTCATCATGACCTTCAACACATCCCTGCACCGCTCCTGGTGGATGGAGAACGGGCCAGGCTGCCTGGTGACACCTGTCCTGAACTCCCGCCTGGCCCTGGAGGACCACCATGTTATCTCTGTGACTGGCTGCCTGCTTGACTATCCCTACATTGAAGCCCTCAGCAGTGCCCTGCAGATCTTCCTGGCTGTAAGTCTTCCTGTCCCCCCAACTCACAATACTCCCAAAAGTGGAGTCTGTAAACCCCTTTGTTTAGCCCTAGTTAAAAAGGTCTTCCAGCCTGTCTGTGCTTCTGCCTGGCTCTGTTTCCATATCCTGTACCTCCTCCCCTCACCCCTGCCCCAGCCCCCATTCAGAGAGTGAGCAGATTTAATGAATAGGATGAGGCAACAGACCATGAGTCAGTCCTGGGTTTAAATTTCCAGTATACCCATTGTGTGACCTTGGACAAGTCACTTGCCATCTCCGAGCTTGTTTCCTTACTCAATGACAGTATCAACCAAAAGGAGTTATAAGAATACAGTAAAAATGGCTCCAAGATAGTAATAGCTCTCATTTCTAGAAGGGCCAGCCCTGCCCAAGGCGCTTTACACATATGAAGTCATATAACTCTATTTCCTCTTAACAAGCCAGTAAGGTATTGCCCAGATCCAACTGGGGAAACTGAGGCTCAAAGAGGTTAAAAATTACTTGTCTAAAGTCACACTCCCAGAACACAGACTGGAACCAGGTATGTTTGACTTTAAGGCCCAGTCATTAACTTGAAGTTGTGGGATTGCCTACAGCTTAGCACACCGGTCCCTGGGGTCCGGGTAGGCAGGGCAGGCAGAGGGTGGAGGAAGAGTTTTCCCTCTCCTCGTGCCCTTCCTCCCTCAGCTGTTCGGCTTCGTGTTCGCCTGCTACGTGAGCAAAGTGTTCCTGGAGGAGGAGGACAGCTGTGAGTGTGCGGCGCCCCTAGGGAAGCGGGAGAGCCGGGCTGCGGGCCACCCCGCGCCTTCAGCACCCTGGACAGGGACCCGAGCGGCCTCGTCGGGAGGGAGCCTCGGGTCCGCCCCTCGTGGAGGGGAGGGGGGGAGGTTTGCACAGCGAGCCCATTCTGGGCTAGGGCCCAGATGTCCAGGTGCCCATCCTTGGCCCCAGCACCACCCCCTGCCCACCCCTCTTAGGCCCGGCCCCTTGGAGGGCTCCACGAGGCTAGTTCCTGCCAGGACCATCCATTCCCAGCGTTTACTCCCCACTCCAGCCTCCTCCCCTTAAGTGGCTGGAGCCCTGACCCCAAGAGCCTTCTCCCCTAAGGATGCCCCCCCCCATCTTCTTAGGGCCTTAGGCCAGGTCGGGTCCCAGCGAGCCCCTCCGCGTCCCCGCCCGCATAGGCCCACCCCTCAGGATCCCGCAGCAAAGCCCCGCCCCTAAGGCCCCGCCGGTGGCCTGCCCCTCGGATTCCTTCCTTTCAAAGCCCAGCCTCCTGTTCCTTGCCCGCCCCAGGCCCATTCCTAACCACGTGCCACCTCCACTTCGCAGTTGACTTCATCGGTGGTTTTGACTCCTACGGATACCAGGCGCCCCAGAAGACATCGCATTTACAACTGCAGCCTCTGTACACGTGGGTCATGGCGCCAGGCGGGGTGGGGTGGGGAACCAGGAGTTAGTGTCGGGAAAAGGGGGATGAGAGGTGGGAAGAGCAGTCTGATCTCTCTGCTCCCCCATTTTGGGGTCCGCTTTCCTAACCTGCCTTTGTTTCCTGCAGGTCCGGGTAGCTTCTGCCCCGCGCCCACCCCGGCGCCGCGTGCTTTGTGGCTGGACTGACGGCTGCTGCCCAGAGCTCGGGCTAAGGCGCAGGCGCGCCCCCTGGTGGCTCGCGGGTCGACTGCAGCTTGCGCGGCTCGATCCGGGTCTGCAGCGGACTTGGACTTGGCCCTTCGCAGCCTGGACTTCAGGGGTGGGGCGGGGTGGGGCGAGGGAGGGGAATCTCGGGGTTTGTATTTTTTTTATCTCAGCCTTGGCTTGCGCTGGGGCCTCCCTCCCTTCTCCAGCCTCTCCCTTTCAACCTTCACCCAGCATCCTGTCCACTGTCCAGAGAGGAAGGGCAGGATGGACAGACTCACCCCATCTCACCACACTCATTCACCAGCTCTGAGGAAAGTTACCGAGAACTAGGAGCAGGAGGCCTGGGTTCTAATCGCAGCTCCATCACTTACTCTCTGTGTGACATCTGGCAAGGCCCTTGCCCTCTGGTCCTCAGTTTCCCCACCTCAAATAATTAAAGTAATCCCTTAGCAGATTGAGCTCTTTCTAGCCTTCTCTCTCATTTGACTCTCAGTTCCCTGGGTTAGGCTGGTATTACAATCCCCATTTTGCAGATAAGGAAACTGAGGCCCAGAGATGTAAAGCAATTTGCTTTGAGGCCACACAGCTAGGCCTTTGGTGGAGGCGGGGCTGGAACACAGTGTACTTTCTGTAGTTTCAGCCTCTAAAACCCAGTGTCTGGTCTCTGAATTTCATTTTCAAGACCCTTTCCAGCTTGGATACTCTAGAACCACATTTACACATCACTACTACCACTTGCCAACGCCTCTCTTAAAGCAATACACCCGTTCTCTTTTTGGGAACCAGACATACGAAGCCCAGAGCCCTGAATTCAGCCTGACCCACAGGGAAGCCTTCCTAGACTCGGCTTCTGTCCACCCTTGGCAAACCTTTCAAACTCTCTCCAGGAAACAGGACCTACAACTCAGTCATCACCTCCCTTCCACATCCCTGAAGCTGCTGCACCCATGGTTCCCTACCCCCTCAGCAACTCCACCAACCCCTGACAGCTCCATCCACCTCACCAGTTGGAAGACCTGTGGTTTAAGAGTGGAAAAGGGTTGGTCAGCTCTGCGTGGTCACCAGTGCTCACAGATCACTAGCATTTATGACTACTCCAGTGTCCAGGAGTTCTGAAGAGGCAGACTGGGGCTGTGGGGGTCAGGAGGGCCAGCACCCTTCCTTGAGAGCAAGTAGACATGAGAAGTCATTCTCCCCTCCTTCCACAGACATCCCCGAGCACCCTGCACCCTGTGCCCTGGCTGGTGAGTCCAAGGGCAGGAGAATCAGGCCTCAGCTTCCCAGTCTGAAATAGGAGTGGCCCTGGGTAAGGAAGGGTGGGAGTCATCAGGGAACTGGAGGGAAGTGCAGATGGTTTGCACCCCTGAGCCTGTCCATGGTAACCACTTTGTTCTACGCTCTCCACTCTCCAATCTAGTATTTCCTACTGTCTAAAGCCAAAATATCCTGAGCTAAGACTGCACTCCACCATCCCAAGTGCAGTTCTGTGCCAAGGAACTAGCCCCAGGAATTCCTCTAGTCACCACAGGCACCAAGGTCCTAGATGGTCAGCCCAGTTAGCTGATGGGTACAGCTCAAGATGGGGACAGTTCCCTTCAGGCCTTGCTGCTGCCCCACCACTTGGCCACCAGCCCTTCCTTCTCCCACCCCCAGGCAGCTGTCATCTCACCTCCACTCCCCCAACCCCCTTTCTACTCAAGGGGTTTAGCCACTGGTGCTTTGAAGCCTTTTGTTTTTATAAGACGTTTTTTGCAAGGAGACCAAGTTCTCACTGGGACCTTGCAAGGCAGGGAGTGTTCCCCTGGTTTCTGTGCAGGTGGGTTGATTAAAGACGGTGTTTTCTTCTCTATCTTCCTGTCCTCCTGCCCTGTGAGTCAGCAGGGCCCCTGCAGGAGGGTGGGCAGGGACTGGGAGGCAATGTCATTGTCACTATCAAATGTTCCTGGGGCACTGGCCTGTGCCTCTGACTGGCTGTGTGGCTTTGGGCAACTTACTCTCCCTCTCTTTTCTGGTCCATAAAATTCAGAGGTGGGATTGAATCTGGGTTCCTGGGGCTTCCCAATCCCTTGGAGAGTTTCTATTTATTTTTCTGATTAAGTCCATTTTCAGCTTATGCTTCCAAATATCCTTCAATTTTTGACTCTGCCCTCTTCCTGACAATTCAGTTCCTGTCCTGGAATCAGCTGGCAGACAGTGCTTTAGAAAGAGATTCCTGTGCCCCACCTGGGGCAACCTGGATCCTTTCTGGAGATACACCAGAATCAGTATTTTGAATTTTTAAAATGTACTTACTTTTGTGAACAGGTAATATATATGTATGGTACAGAATTTAGAAAGTTGCCAGAATTCTCTCATTTTTTATATCTTTCCAAAGATAGTCAATTCTTTTAAAAATTATACAAATTTTTTTTATTTTTTTTGCTTTTTCACACAAATGGCAACATATTCCACTCACTTCAACTCCCTGCTTTTTTCACTTTCTGAATCTTGGAAATCTTTCCAGTAATATATGCATAGCAGCCTCTCATCCTTCCACAGTGATTTGGTAGTATTGGGGGTTTTGTAGAGATCCCCAGGTGATCCTGATGCAGGTAGGGACTGAGAACCAGGGGTGCTATGTAAGGATGCCCCAGGTGCATTGTGCAAACCTCTGTGAGCCATTTCTGGTTGTGGGGTCCAGAGGAAACAGTCACAGACACTGCCTATAAGGAGCTTACGGTCTAGAGGGGAGCCCACAGCATGGGCAGGCAGAAGAGTGAACGCTGCTGGCGGGTGGTCGATACTGAGGACGGTGTAGAGGGAAAGGCGATTGTTAACAGGAGCGCAGGAGAGGGGATCCGAGTCTCCTGGGGGCGACAGCATGAGCAAAGCCTGGAGGGAGGACACATGGTGTCTGGAGTGAGACTAGCCAGAGGCTGACTGGCTGGAGGAAGCTTCCATGGGGAATGGATTCGTTTCCTATTGCTGTCAGACTACCACAGCTTTAGTGTCTTAAAACAATACAAATATATTATCTTACAGAAGTTCACCATGGGTATCACTGGGCTGGAATCAGGATGTCGAGGGTACATTTCTGGAGGCTGTAGGGCAGAGTCCATTCCCTGCCTTTTCCAGCTGCTAGAGGCTGCCCTCATTTCTTGGCTCCTGGCCACCCTTCCTCCGTCTTAAGCCAGCAGTGTCGCATCCCTGACCCTTCCTCCATCACATGTCTCTACCCACAGCCAGGAAAGGCTCTCCACTTTTAAGGTCACGCCATTAGATTGGGCCCACCCACGTAGTCCAGGAAGACCTCCCCTTCTCAAAGCCCTTAATCACATCTGCAAAAGTCCTTTTCTAAAAAAATATTTTTTTAATTTTTATTATTTTTTAAAATATGTCTTTATTGATTTCAGAGAGAGGAAGGGAGAGGGAGAGAGAAAGAGAGAAACATCAAAGATGAGGGAGTCATCATTGATCGGCTGCCTCCTGCACCCCACAACTGGGGATGGGGCCCGCAACCCGGGCATGTGCCCTGACCCGGAATCGAACCGCAATCTCCTGGATCCTAGGTCGATGCTCAACTGCTGAGCCACACCCGGCCGGGCAAAAAAATTGATTGATTTTCAGAGAGAGGTAAGAGCGGAGAGAAACATCAATCTGCTGCTCTGCCCATTTATGCATCATTGGTTGGTTGCTGTATGTGCCCTGGCCCGGGGTTGAACCTGCAACCCTGGTGCATCAGGGTGACGTTCCAACCACCTGAACCACCCTGCCAGGGCTGCAGAAGTCCCTTTGCCATGTGACATTCACAGGCTCCAGGAGTTGGGATGTGGACAACTTTGGGGGCCATTCTGCCTTCCACGGGGCAGTTGTACCCAGGAATCACAGCTTTGAATGTCGAACCGGGGCACATCAGCCTGACGTGGTGGCTGTTGCAGGATTTCGAACAGAAGCTGCCCATCAGCTGTCCCTGGGAGAGAGCGGGTAGGGCTGGAAAGGCGTCGGAGGAGGGGCGCAGGAAGCAGTGTTCTTTCTGGAAGAGGCCTGGGGTTTTCCACTTCCCTCTGTGTGTGTGTGTGTGTCTCTGTGTGTGTGTGTGTGTGTGTGTGTGTGTGTGTGAGATTGGGGATATGTGTGTGACCATGAACTCTGTGTAAACATGGGAGGGCTAGTGCAGCCATGAAGAGCATGAAACACAGAAGTCGGGCATACCTGGGGCAAAATGTATCCCTGGAACCTGTCAAGCGAAGCTCCCCCAGCTCCTGCCACCCTGGGGCCATCTCCCAGCAACCTCTGCACATTAGAATAATCCAGATAGGACAGACCATCTTCAATAACTGCTCAGTCATACAGGTGCCCAAGGCATTCTTTGAAGCAATAGAATATAAATTCCCTGAGGTGCACTTGACAAGCACAATAATCTCCTAGGATTTATAGACCTACTAGTGTTTTCTTTAACATGTTGGAATTGGGTCTTGCAGTTTCCAAACAGATTAGAAATAAGGGAGGGCTTGATGCCAAGGCCTTGTTGCTTTATATGATTCATTACCACACAGGCAAGGCCCAGGCAGTGTTTCTCAAACTTGCAGATATAACAATCCCTTAAATTCAGATTTCTGAGCCTGATCCAAGACTCACTGAACACAACATCTGGGCAATGGCTGGAATCTGTGGGTTTTTAATAAGTGGCCCCAGGCGATCCAGGTTTGGACAAGTAATCCTAGGCCCAGGTAAAGAGTCATGCAAACAGTTTTGAAGCTTCCTTTAAGCCAAAGTCGTGGAGGCCCCACTAAAATATGCTTGTCAGCTCCCTCATATCAGCTAGGTTTTAGTTATCTTCCCAAAGCTCAATTTCATTTGTCACAATTTTTTTAATGGGTTATGCATTTCAAAGTCTGATCAACTCTTGAACTTAAACGTTGACATAACTTCACAAGTTAGTTTGGGCAAAGGCAGAACCATGCTCTGTTACCTGGAGGTGAGTGCAGCTCCAATTTGCCCCCAAGGCCACCGGAGCTGGGGGCCACGCCCTGCCCTAAGCCTGGGTTCCAGTGACTCAGCACTTCCCCTCTCAGCAGGCCCTGGAACCAGACTGGGCAGGCCCTGGCCTACTGGAGCTGCAGAGAGAGCCCGCGGCTGGGTGTCCAATACCTAAATAATTCCTCCTCTGCCCCACCCGCCTGGCACATGGGGTAACTCCTCCCACCCCTGGCCTAGGTGCCTTCATTGGTGAAATCAGAGGGCTAAACTTTGCACGATGAATTCTTTCCTGCTGACATTCTGAGAAATGGCTTCTCAACCCTAAAGTACTTGGGATGCCTTTTTGAAATACACATTCCTGGGCTCCACTTACATACTACCAGGTTCTAATTCACTGGGACCCAAGCACTGGAATTACTCCTTCCAGGTGTACTTATTAAGTACCTACTATGTGCCAAGAATTGGGGATACAACAGTGAACAAGACAGAAAGTAATCCCTGCTCTCAGGGAGGCTATCTATTGGGAGGAAACACAAACCAGCAAAATCTATGGTATATCAGTCAAGTGTCAGGGAGCAAAACAGGGCAGGGAAGGGAGTACAGGATAGGAATCAATTCCAGTTTTAAACTGGACTTCGGGTCAGTTAGGGAAGGTCTCACTGAGAATAATTTTTTAATAAAAAAAGACCTGAAGGTTAGGTAGAAAGCAAAGGAAACAGCAAGTGCAAAGGCCCTGAGGTGGGAGTACTCGTAACTATTGGAGGGAAGCAAGGAGGCCAGTGTGATTTAAAGCAAGGTAGGGGGAGAATGGTAGGAGATAAAGTCAGAGATGGGAAGTGGGGAGGCATGTCAGACACTATTGGACTTAAAGGACATCAGCTTTTAATCTGAATGAGATGGGAAACCACTGGAAGAACAGAACATAGCACTGGGGGAAATCCCTTTGGATACTATGTGGAGAATAGACTATAGGAAGTCAGGGCTGACAGAGAGAGACCAGGTCAGATGCCTTTAGATAATCCAGATGAGAGATACTGGTGTTTCAGTCAGGTGGCAGCGGTGGAGGACATGAGAAACAGCTGGATTCCAATCTGTCTGTGGGTGAGACCAACAGGATTTGCTGGTAGATTGCATGTGGGATGTGAGTGAGACCAAAATGTCTCTGGACATTGCCGAATGTCTTCAGAGCAACATCACCCCCACGGTTCTACACAGAGGAAATAAAGTAAGTGAAGTCATCAAGGAGGACGAGTGAGACTTTGGGTAAAGCATTTACCTTGGGCCTCATTTTTCCCATCTGTAAAATGGCATAACATTTCACAGTGTTGTTGTGATAATTAATGAGAACTCCTGTAAAGCACCTGACACATAGGAGGCCCCCAATAAACGTTAGTTCCTTTACAGAGCAGTACAAGAATGACAGTCCCTGACCCCCAGTCTCCCCAACCATGGGCAACTTCCAAGACTGATCTTGAGGCTCCAAACTCGGGCCTCCGTGTCCTCTGCCCATGAAATGGCATTAGGGTGAAGAAACAGAACACTGATTAATTATTAATTTGTTTCTCATTTGCCAAAAGAGCTGTCCCAGCCCCATGGAGCAGAACTCACCACATAACTTTCTGGATAGTTGGTGATCCCAGCCCAGAACAGAGACTCTTCTGTGGGCTCGAGCAACCTCTCCCCACTTACACATGGGATGGTCCTCTGGCTTTCAGAAATACCACAGCAGCACAAGGACCCGATTCTGCCACCACAGACTCCCAAATATCAGATTAAGAATCACAAGTCAGTGGGGGATTTGTGAGAGAGCAGGGACTCCCAAGCCCCCAACACCATCCCTCAACGCCAGCACCAAAAGTCCTGCGGCTACGGTGCCAGGCACTGGGCTAG